GCTGAGGCTTCCCTGCAGCAGAGCACTCCCAACCCAACTCAAACATCGTCTCTGTGGTTAAAGAACGTTTGTCTCAACGGACCAAAGGACCTGATCTTTCCTCAGGTTGTCCTCAGCATCTGGAGCATCAGATCTGGAGACAGATCGTGAAAGAGTATAGACTCAGAGCCTTCTCGCTTTTGACACCTATTACAGCTAATCCTGCATTCAAACCCTCAGTTTTAGACGGGACATTTGATCGCTGGAAGGAAATGGGGTTGCGAAATGTGGGGCACCTGTATTTTCAGGGTCTTTTGCTTCATTTCAACAGCTTAAGGAGAAGTACAATTTATTAGCCTGTGACTTTTTTAGATACCTTCAAATAAGGAGCTATGTAAGGTCCCAACTACAACAATCTGCAACTCCAGGTAAGCTTGACCAACGCCTGGTGGATTGTGTAACAGAAAAGCATGCGGTTGCTTTTATATATGAGGTATTACAGTCACTCCGGCAGAAGGATACGGGTAAAATAAAATCAGAATTAGGGTCAGAAATTCATAATGATATCTGGACTAAAGGGCTATGTTACTTCCTGCTCTATCAATGCCCGACATTAATTCAGTTTAAAGTTTTGCACAGATTGCACTACTCGAAGACAAGATTACATCGGATATTTCCTGAAACGTCACCCATCTGTGATAAATGTCGATGTGCAGAAGCTGATCTGCTTCACAGTTTTGTAATGTGTACCAAATTACAAAGTTTTTTTCCCAAACGTTTTGATGTGCAGTTAGACCCTGACCCCATTTTGACTCTTATTGGACTATCGGGACAATCTAAAAAACTTAAGAGCACACAGATTCCCCTCCTGTCCTGTGGCCTGATGTGTGCAAAGAGACTGATTCTCCTCCTGTGGAAGGGAAAAGAAGCGCCCTCCTTGAAAGCCTGGATTTCAGTATTGACAGATACTCTTCATCTGGAAAGGATCCGCCACATTATAAATGACAAACTGGACTTCGATCAGATTTGGAGGCCGCTCATTGAGCACCTGGAAACTATGAACAAATGAGAGTTATTATGTGGACTTCACCATTGCTTAAAATAAACTGACAGCACTCTGGGATAAGGGAAGGGTGTAGGGAGGAGGTTTTTGTTTTGTTTTGTTTTTTTTGACCGCCCTTTTTGGTACGTTTTGTTTTTTCCTGTTTTTGTTGTTGTTGTTTGCTTTGTTTGTTTTTTGATGCCAAAACTGTAAAAAGGAAGCAATGTCAGTCTATGGGACAATTTGTGATTGTTATTTGTGCTTCACAATAAAAATATTTAAAGAGAGGTTGTCCTCAGCACACTTCAGTCCGTCTTGAAGGTGTTGCTTCAGCAAGAGTCGACTTTTCTTCGTGGTAGTTATCGTCTCGTAGTTGCTGTGCGGTCTTTGTCTCTCACTAGTTTTCTTTAAAATCTTTTGCTTCCTTATCTTCCAGCCTCGTTCTGGATCTCTTTGGATGTTTTGACGATACTTTTCTTGACACTTGGAAACCCTGTGAGGACGTTTTAGATCCGTCTCCTGCTTTGTGAGCATCAACAAGTCTAAACTGATTTCTTGCAGCACGATGCTTTCTCCAGTGACAGCTCGGCACTTTTGATCGTACCTCGACCTGGTTTCCTACTCTTGAGGATTTGACCGATGACTCACCAACACAGTTCTTCCCATCAGGCGTGTTCTCATAACCTTCGTGGCACAGACACTGGAAGGAGCCCAGTCCGTTGATGCACTGTCCGTTCCTGCACACTTGGCCCTGCAGAGCGCTGCACTCGTCGATATCTGTGGAAACGGTGGAAAGATTAGGATTCGTCTGAATTTCTTCCTATGTTGGAAAGAAACAATCTATTTTCTCTTCCTAACATGCGACTCTGTGACAAAGCTGCCTTCAGGAAAAAGTTCAAAGACATAAAGTTTAATACAGTTTGACAAATTTCCCCATGAAACCAAAGAGCAGCAAGAACACAGAGCCAACATCTAAATCTAAATGTCACAGCGCAGCAAAGGGCAGCTTGTTTTTATTGAATCGTCAGGGCGCAGCTTTTAAGAATATGACAACTACAGCTTTGTCAAGAAGACGTTGACCTTTCACACAAAGCTCAACCTGCCGTTGACCTTTGTGCAGGAGAACAGCAGTGACTCGTACCCATGCAGTCGTTGTTGTGAGTGAGCTCGAAGCCGGGGAAGCAGAGACAGTTGTAGGATCCCACGGTGTTTTTACAGGTGCCGTTACCGCACGGCTGCCGTTCACACTCATCGATGTCTGAAACACACAGAACAACATCAACGTAAAGTGCATTTATATCACGGTGAAGCACTCTGCTGATGAACTTAGACTTTGGTGTTCAGACCCAGTAGCTTGTTGACATGTTAAGCCCAAATGTACACTGTACTGATTTAATCTTCCCTCTGACACTGGGCCTCTGCACAACACTGATGAAAAAGACTCAAAGTAGCAACCGAAAGTCTAAATGAAATGTTTTTGTACAATAGTTGTTTCCTCCTCTTTAGTTCTTCTCTATTTCCTTTACGATGGACAGGTGGGATATAAATGTGCGCTCTGTGGTTTGCTCACCCATGCACATGGTTTGGTCAGCAGTGGCCTTGAAGCCGTTGTGGCAGATGCAGCGGTAACTGCCCTGCGTGTCGATGCACTCGCCGTGGCTGCACACGTTGGGGATCTCCTGGCACTCGTTGCGGTCTGTGGACACGGGCCAACAGAAAATCAGCTAAACGTAGCACGCCAATAACAAGTTTAGTTATGACCATCACGGCGAGTCTTAAAGACTCAAAGACAGATTCCCAAAGTCTAAACTGACATCTTTAACCTCCTAAGACCCGAACTCTTCCACAGCATGAATTTTAAATGTCTCTTTGATATTTGGGCCGATTGGCGCCCGATGAATGTAAAAACAAAGAATTACCAGATTTTTTTTTTTTACCTTATTTTTGTTTTTAAGAAAAATAAGAGCCACATATGAGATTATTATTATTAAAATTTTGAAAGAATAGTAGCAGCATAATGTCCTCGTAAGTGGATATTCGGCCCTTGTAGAGCAAAATTGAGTATTTTGGTCTAAATAACCCAAAATGTGATGTCCACATATGTGGACGCAGGTCCTAGCAGGTTAAATACATTTCTTACATATAGAGAAGCTGAATGAACCCGTTTCGCGTCTCCCTGGACGCCTTACACGATCGCTCTGTGAGCCTGTCACACAGTGTGGACTCACCCAAACAGGCCCCGCTGGGAGACAGCTTGAAGCCTTGCGAGCACTCGCAGCGGTAGCTGCCGGGAATGTTGATGCAGTTGGCGTTGCGCTGGCACAGGTTGTCCCCGCTGTTACACTCATCGATATCTACGCCAGAGGAAGGAAACAGTGGGCATCAATCACAGGCTCTGCAACTGTCTGGTCAGAGCACGCCGTCAGCTCGCGGACAGCAGGAAACACAACAGCGCCATTTTGGCTCTGATACAGTACAGACAGCTGCTGGCTGATGGCTCTGGCAGGTACTTCCACTTAGAGCCACCGTGCTTTTTTACAGGGAGCAATGACTATATTGGTAGAAGTGACTGTAAAAGCAACTATCAGAGTCGTCCCCTGTCGTAGTGACGATGCTGTGAGGATTACAAAGGACATTTCAGACCAAATGAAAGCCTGCGTGCTACCTTCACAGATCAGCAGTATGTTGTTGTAGCTGAAGCCCATCGGACATTCACATCGGAAGCTCCCGATCTGGTTGATGCACACTCCATGGGCGCAGATGCCAGGAATCTCCCTGCACTCGTCAATATCTGCAGAAAATCACCACCGTGGTCTATTTACGAGGCACAGCAGTGAACATGCACGATAGCAGGTGGTTGATGTCGTAACACTTACCAACTGGTTTGCCGGTATGGATGTCAATAATGAAGCCAGGAGCCTGGTTACCACACAGCAGCTGGTATTCAGCTGGAGAAAAAGAAATCCAGTGAGCGACGGAAAACAGGCGTTAGCTCGTGTCTCGAGGACTTTGTGGGAACTCACTGGTGGCAGGAGTTGGACAGGCTTCACACGGCTTGTTCCAAGCTTTCCCCACGTTGTAGGCGCAGCAGCACATCTTCTTGGTCATGTTGAAGGACAGCTCGTTCTCACACGTGTCGTTGAAGTTGCGGTAGCACACGCTCTTTCTCATGTCTGCCATACGAGAAGGAAAGGAGTCATCAGGAAAGGTTTGACACTGTTGGACAAATAAGCAACAGCGAATCTGCTCCACCCACCCATGCAGTTGTTTCCTCCATTGACCTGCATGTACTCAGGCGGACACACACAAGTGTAGTTGCCCAGAGTGTTGTAGCAGGTGCCGGGCCCGCAGATGCCAGTGTGAGTCGTGCACTCATCGATATCTGCAAATGAAGCATGAGCAGCGTGTTAAAGAGCTGCTGGGTGATCTTTATCAGCTCTGGACATCTGAGTCACGCTTATTTCAGTCTTAATCTGACATTTTATTATTGTTACAATTTTACTTTGTGGATTAAATTATGGATAAAAAGTAACAAAGTAAAATTGTAACAAATTTCAGACTGGATCTGAAATTTGTTACAATTTTACTTTGTTACTTTTTATCCATAATTTAATCCACAATTAATATCAGCTACTAGCAACAGCATTAGCTAATAAAATGTTCTATTTCATGGACGTATCTACTTCAGAATGTGTCCGCATTTCTCACCACTACTTGTAATATTAATAACAAATTATGTATTAATTACATATTTGATGTAATGGGCGTAAAAGTGAAAACAATGTAACCAGAGGTGGGCAGAGTAGCCAAACAGTGACAGTAGCACCTCAACATAGTTTTACTCAAGTAAAAGTACAAAGTAGCCTCCAAGAAATTACTCTAGTAAGAGTAAAAAAGTATTTAGTAAAAAAGGCTACTTGAGTACTGAGTAACTGATCATAACATCTGATTTAATGTTCAGTGCAAATGTCTTGATGCATCTCAATCATCCAGGGAAGTAAATCTCCAAAAGTTGATTCTGTTCATCTGGACGTAGCGTTTTCTGGGAGAAACGTTTCGTCATCATCAGGTGACGTCTTCAGTCTCAGCTGACTGCAGGTTTCAATTTTATAAACAGAACATTTGCATAATGACTGAAAGAATGCTGGTTTGAGGGCGGAGTCAAGGAGGCCATTTACGCGAAAAGAGAAAGACCATCTCTGAATGGAGGAGGGGCCTAAGGGTGCATCTTTCGCCATCTTACATGCTGTGATTGCAGCCATTCCCCAACTCTCTGTGAATGGTACTCATGGACATTGATCAGTGGTCTTTGATCAGTGGTTGTTGATCAATGGTCATGAGAATTTGCATAATTAAGATTAAGGAACTGACCTCCCAGCCCATTGTTCCTTCAGTGGGCTGGTTTCAGTCATTATGCAAATGTTCTGTTTATAAGATTGAAACCTGCAGTCAGCTGAGACTGAAGACGTCACCTGATGATGACGAAACGTTTCACCCAGAAAACTTCGTCCAGATGAACAGAATCAACTTTTGGAGGTTTAGTGCAAATGTTGGTATTTTAAAGACTGAAAAGAATAAATCTAAGCAGCAGAGAAACGTTTCCAAATCATTATTAAACTCATATTTAGAGACGGTAATATAGATGTAATTATATAAATACATGTTCGAACAGAGTGATGATGTAACTTCATCTCCAACAGGCGGAGCAGACGGAGCAGACGGAGTAACATTAACAAACTGCAGGTTTGTGTTTCCTGCATTTTGGTTCAAACATGTTTATTATTCACTCGAGTAAGAGTAGCGATGCTTCATCATAATATTACTCGAGTAAAATTAAAAAGTGTAATGTAGTAAAACTAATCCTAAAGTTACTCAGTAAATGTAACTGAGTAAATGTAATTAGTTACTACCGGCCTCTGTAATTAACATATATTGTGCAGGCACAGTGGTGAGAATCATAGTAAGTGAACAGAAACAACACTGACTAGTGGCTGTGTTCAGGATTACTGGGTATCTTTACTCTGTAACTCAACTGACTGTAATCGTTTGTGTGCTTGAATGTTGTTGTTTTGTGTGCATTTAGGCAGCAAATGAATACAAAATAAATGCATTAAAAACATCTTGACTTTACTGTTTATCTGGTGAACAAAGGAAGTGACTCAATAAATAAAAACAATGCAGTCGTACAACTGAAAGAACTCTAATAAGAGGAGGACGGTTGTCAGACCTCAGCAGGCGAAGAAGAAGAAGGACAGGAGGGACCGGGACACGCTCCATCATCACGTGACCCTGGCTCAGGGTACCGACTCCATGTTTACCTCATATGTTTATGCGTATGTGTGATTAATACTAATATTTAAAAATAACTGCTGTTTCTCCTCACACTTGTTCACTAAGGCTACGTCCACACGTACACTCAAGTAGCCTTTTTTTGAAAACGGAGATTTTCCGTTTTCGTTTTAAAAAATAATCCCGTCCACACGTAAAGGTAGAAATGAAGGCAAACGCTGCTAGGAACATGCCAAAGCAGCAGGTGGCGCTATATTCCTAACCGTGTAGAAATGTTGGCCAATCAGACGTCTAGAAGCCTCGGCGGGAAATAGTAAACAAAGCTGGCGCATAGAAGCAGAACCGAGTCGTATGTGTGGAGGGACAGTAACTGTGTGTGTATATGTAAGCATTTAAACACTGCAGAGACAATTAACAGTAACAGTGTTGTAGAAATTCATTTCACCGAAACAATAACGTGGCGCACAGTGTGACGTCAAAAAAGGCGCACACCTTTGACGCTGCGTTTTCTGCGTTTTCTCCGTTTTTCTCGTCCACACGTAAATGCAAAAATGGAGTTTTAGAAAATATCCACCCTGGCCGGAGTTTTTAGAAATTTCCGTTTTCAGTGACCAAAAACGCCGTTTACGTGTGGACGAAAGGTGCAAACGCATAGAAAAATCTGCGTTTTCAAAAATACGTGTGGACGTAGCCTTATTTCAATTCTTAAACTGCTGTGTCTCATTGGTTTGTTTTCAGAGCAGCTGAGGTTGTCTGTGCATGTTTCCTTGGTTACAGCAGACGCATACCCTGGTGTAGCTCTGACAGGAAGTGTCTGTAACGAGGGGCGAAACAGGATGTTCAGCTCTCACCTTCACAGATGCGAGTCTCTTCGTTGAGGTAGTACCCTGGTGGACACTCGCACTGGAAACTGCCAAATGTGTTGACACAGTTTCCACCCTGGCAGAGGCCTGGAAGCTCCTGGCACTCGTCAATATCTGGAGAAGAATTCGCTTTGTTACGTCCGTCAGTGACACCAACGTGTCGTCTTTAAACACGGGACAGAAAACAACGTCTTACCCTCCAGGATGACAGTGATGGGGTTGGGTCTGAATCCTTCTCCTCCCGGACACAGCGTCTTATAGTCGGCTGCAGACGAGACAGAGACACGTGCAGGTTTGCATTTGGAGATAAACGCTGTAAATAAATGAAGCGAGTGGGTCTGTGCGTACTGGAGTTGAGCAGGGGGCAAAGTTCACAGGGGTTTCCCCAGGCGACCCCCTCTGAGCAGCAGCAGGAAGCTCGGGTCACACCCACTCCGATCTCTGCGCTGCAGGAGATTCCTCCATCGCCGCGGGCGAGGACATCCAGGAAGCAGTTCCCAACACGGGTGTCTGAAACGGCAGAGCGGCGGCGAGTCCAAGAATGAAATGAGCAACGTTTTGGGCGGCTTAAACTTCATGCTGCTGTGTGACCCATCCACAGAACAAACTGCATGAGCGTGACTCACCCACGCAGCCCACTCCTGTGGGGTTCAGCTCAAAGTCAGGTGGACAGTTGCACAGGTAGCTTCCTGGTGTGTTCACGCACAGTCCATTGATGCAGTTAACAGGGTCCGCGCACTCGTTGATGTCTGCGTCGACATGCAATCAGAAAACGTCTTCATATAAATGGAAAAAGCAGATGAAAGAAACCATTAAAGAGCTGGGACACAAGCACAAACCAGTGCAGTTTCCTCCACTGCGGTCCAGCTCGTAGCCATCATCACACACGCAGCGGAACATCCCGGGAAGGTTCTGGCACGTTCCAAACACGCAGATGTTCTGGAAGTTGCACTCATCGATGTCTGTGGGGAGGAGAGAAGTTTGGGTTTTTGTCTTTTTGACGACACCTGTTGGGAAACGAGTAAAGTGACGCAGCACCTTGGCAGGCCTTGCTATCTTCTGTAGGAGTGAAGCCCATCTCGCACTCGCAGCGGTAGCCTCCCGGGGCGTTCAGACACTGGCCGTTCTCACACAGGTTCACGTTGTCTGCGCACTCGTCCATGTCTGCGAGAGATATGTTAAAAGCTTACTGTGCTGGACACGCGGTCGCCGGCTTTAATCGGGACGGCGCCGACAGCCTTACCGGAGCATGAAAAGCCATCTCCGTTGAAGCCCTCTTTGCAGGCGCACCTGTAGGATCCCGGCGTGTTGACGCAGTCTGCGTTGGGGTTGCAGTTGTGGTCCTCTGCAGCACATTCGTCTTCATCTGCAGGAGACGGAAGTGATTTAACGAGGAATTTGTATTCCTTTTATGTTCTCCGAGCGCATCCCAGCCGAGTAATACCCACTCACCCACGCATTTGATGCCATCTCCCACCCAGCCGTCTCGGCAGCGGCATTTGAAGCTTCCGGGAAGGTTGACGCAGGCGGCGTGCATGTCACAGTTATGGGATCCGATTTCACACTCGTCAACATCTGGAAACATTCAGAGTTCAGTTAAGCAAAGAACAGGAAAGAAGAAGCAGGCAGCACTAATAATTAGGGATGCAACGATACCAATTTTTCAAACCGATACGATAC